ATTCCATAACTATACTCCATAACTATATTTCATAACTATATATATGAGGCTCTTAAAACAGTTCCTGGCACATAGTAGCCAACTACATAAATATTTGTTGAACAAATGCATAATCCTAAAATGCCCACCCTCCAAATTTGAATGCAACCTTACATATGATTTTCTTGATTATATTTGAACAACATGGCTAATGATATGAAGTGGAAATAATGATTTTCAACACTAGTGGAAATGGGCATCTTAAGTGGGTTGGCAAGCTTATAAAAAATGTTAAATGCCTCATTTTCTGATGAAGATCTTCTTTATGCTATGCTCCTCCTTCACACTTCTCTTCCGCACTTCAGGTGATCTATAAAGAGTCTTAACTAAACATTATGAGAATTTTATAGGCCAAACTGCTGTGATGGTTGCTGTCAGCCAATCCAGAAGTGCCCAGTTCCCTGAGGTGTGACAGCTAACACCTTAGCTCTTCTTTACCTATAAAAATAATCCTTTTCATTTGTGACCGATTCTTAAAAGAACCATGACAAGTGTTTATTATGCATGTTTCTATATTCACTTTATTGCTCTGGAAATACAAGATATGGATTGAAGGAAAAGGAGTCTATTTTTCAATATTACTTTGTCAGATGAATCAAGACAGAATTCATGTCCCTTCAACTCCATATCTCTGCCTGACTATATTAAAATCCTGCTGGTGACCTATTGGATATTTTTCTCTTCACAGTTTACAGTGCCTGAAGTGCATTTAGAAACCCCAGTGTGTGTCTCTTGGCTTGTGCTTCCCTTGTCTGCCCAAATGTGAGAGAGCGGGATCAGAGGGAGAGAAGAGCAGAGAGCAGGACTACTGCCTGTACCTGCTGAACTGGCAGCTCCATGGGCTTCCTTCCCTGCCCCTCACTCCTCACATCCATCTCCCCAGCTCTGAAGGCTCTGCACTCCTCTTGCCTAGGTTGTCCTAGTTCTTACATGGTGCTACTGATGGGAGCAAAGCACGACAGAAGCAAAAGAGGGAGGGGGTGCAAGCTGCAGTCTGGTTCTTGTAACTGAACCCAATGGGGTTGCCTCTTGGTGACTTTATGCCAATAAGACTCAACCAACTGAGACTGAAAGAAAGGAAAGTTTATTACTTGAATCAGTAAGAACACTGGGGATAGTTCCCAAAGCAGTGTCTCCCCAAAGCATAGGGCCAATCTTTTATTAAACCACACACACACACACAGAAGGCAAGATAGTTCTTAATTAGGTCTACCAGACGATTAGGTAAAAACTCATAACACTTCTGCTTGGCACATGGATTATGCAAACAAGTTGAAAATTCAGGGCAACTCTGACCAGTGTGCAGAAGAGAGGCAGTAATTAGCCAAAGCTCTCAGTTCTTGGCAAAAGAGAGGGAGTCTCTGGGCAGCAGTCAGAGGAGTTCTTGCAGAGAACAGTGGCAAGTAGCAACTCATACTGTCTGCTCTTCCCAGAAAATCTTGTTCTGCAAAACATCTTAGCAGAGAATGTTAACTTTTCCTATAAATTTGCTATTAACCCTTTTTCTGCCTAACTACCTGGCCACAGTCCCATCCAGGCACATAAGAGAGATGATGAGGGTGCATATGATATGAACTGGAACAGCAGATGTTATACCTCTGTGACCCACCAAAGACCAAAGTGACTCTACTTTAGGGAATTAATTTTTAAACCCACATTACTTACCGTAGGAAAGAGGATACATAGCACCTCACATTTTAATATAAAATTGGTTGCTGAAGTAAGGCAGAATAATTTGTAATAAATAATTAGTAATATAGGATAAAGAGAGTTTATTTCAGAGATAATAGAAACAACAAAATACTAAAAACTGTTACTCTACTCAAGAGTTAAAGAAATTCAGAGCTATTAGTTTGCTGTTCTTCTGAGAATCACTGTGGGTGGGCATGTATCCAGTTCATTCTTCAGCAAATTGATCATTAATTCTCCTTTTTTGAAAAAGGACAGCAGGGGCTGTATCCCAAGATTTGGGTTTCAGCTTGAGCAACTTTTCAGATGTTATTTAAAGTCTCTGGACCTCAGCTATCTCATTTGGGAAAGAAAGGGTTTCATCTAGATCAGAGGCCAGCAAACTTTTTCTGTAAAGGAACAGATGGTAAATATTTTGGGCTCTGTGGTCTACACAGTCTGTGTGGTCTACACAGACAACTCAAGTCTCCTGCTGTAGCATTGACTGACCCCTTTTGGTTAGATGGAACTATATGAAATTGCCACTTCTGTAGATCAAATGGTAGAATATAGCAATGTTTCATGGTTCACCTCAAACTATTCTGTCCTCACTGACTGTCTTTCTCTCACTCACACTTCACACATGGGGGTAAATTCTTTTGCTGGATGGCAGATGCCCACTTCCGCACTGGCCTGGTCAATTTCTACACATCTTAATTCTGGTGGACATTCCACCAGATCTTCTCCAAACTACTGTCTGATAAAATGTTCCCTTGCTGTGTACCCATAGCAACCAGTGCAAAGGCCAGACAGAGCTCTTGGGCATGGGGTTGAAATTCTGTTTGTGCTCCAGTTGTCCCTGGAAGAGCTATCGGTGTTTAAGACATCTTTGTCTTCCCTCTGCCTGGGAACACAGCACATTAAGTTTTCTGATTGAATGGAATGGAACAAAACTAGCAGGTTCTTAGCAAATAATGATCACTGAAAAAACATTAAACTGACTTTGGATTTCATACTTGTGTTTGAGTTTCAGAAGTCTTTGGGGACTTGAGCCTGGCCAGTATTTTCATATGCTAATAAATGTGATTTGAGGCAGAAACATTAATTAAATGAACAGGTAGCTTTGATAATTGGAGGATAGAATAAGCTAAAGCCACACTATGTGTAGCACAGAAAATGACTTGAGTAAAAGGTTTCTGGTTGTATTGTGGACGAAAATTATTTTTGCAGTATAAATAGTGCAAACTTTCACTTCCAAGTTCTTTGAATGTGCAAAATTGCTTTCTCCTGAATCTTCTCTTTATATACATGTGCATATAGATGAGGATAAGATATTTCAGACCTCCTCTCCTAAAAAACATAGTGGGAAGATTTTGGCAAATAGTAATATCAGTTTAGATCAAAACCAATTCTCAATCATCATTATATAGTAGCCCAGCTGCAAAACTCTATGTGGTGTGGGAACAGACATACGTACCGGGCTGCTGGAGAAGGTAAGCAAACTTATTCAAGCCAGGGTAGAATTGTTGGGAGTTGAATTTGTTCTCCTCGGTTCTTGTCTCCACCACAACAAAGAACTGAAGGGCAGAGACAAAGCAGTGAAGCAGAGCTAAGGTTTTATTTGCATTCACTGCAACGGAGGAGCAGGTCAGAGTCAAGGTACACAAAGGCAGGTTTCCTTGAATAAAGCAGAGAGGAAGGACAAACGCAGGGAGGAAAGGAAAGTTGTTTGATCTCCTCTTCGGCATAGGGCACATCCCCTGTTAACTCCTAAAGCCAGTGTCCCCTGGCGTCCAGTGTCGGGTTGAATCTGCATGGCATGGGACCTAAGCCCCAACCACCCCAGGATGCGGGGGAGCTCCAGAGCACTGGATGGAGAGAGATTATGTTCTGAGAACTTCCCAAAGGCAAAGAAAGAATATTTTCAGGCAGGCTACTAAGAAGCATGATTGCATAGCTGCAGTCTCATCTGGGTCACCCAGGCGACAAGAAGTTGCAAGCCCCAGATCAGAGTTCTCAGCAGCCACTCCCTACTTACCAGGAGTAGAGCAGAGGGAGCGACACACCCAAAGAGAGGCAAGTGCAGGCAGCCTCAGAGAGGAGGTGCCCTTTAGGGTTTGGGGCTTGGGGTTTTGTAGGGCTTTTTGGGTAAGGGTCAGCATAAGGCATAATGCATACAGGTGATTTGTAATTCCTTTGAAGTTTTGTCTTAAGAATAGGGTTATTTAGGTGACTGTTGGCCTGAATCTGAGCATTCTTTGTCCACATAGGTTTATTTATACTTCAGAGATCTGTCTCCTGCCCTGGTTATAAAGTTACTTGATTAAGGGAAGAAGTTAAGTTAAAGAATAAGCTGGGCCTTTTAGCAGACTAAGCAGATTTTACAATGGCATGATCTAATTGATACAGTGAAGACATGGGCTGTGCTCGGATACTTTTCTTTATCTGGGGAATATCTGGACATTCTAAGTTGCCCCTGGCCTTTGGAACTTCAACTAACTCATTAACTTTGGGAGTCTTTTCTGGCTCCCCGGTTTTATCTGGTTAACTCTTTGAGTCCCTTTTAGTGGGCTTTACTGATCTTATTCTCCCTCCACCTGTCTATTTTTCGGCCTAACAGAACGTTACCGAATAAAGCTCTCCTGCCTGGTGGAGTAGACAACAAACCGCCCACGGACGTGTCTGCTCATTGGTCTCTTAGTCATGTGGGACACCCAGAGAAGGGAGCCCAGAGAGGAGGGCAGTAGTTCACTGTGGGGGCCGGGGCCTGCCACACTGTAGGCTACAAACAGGTACAGCTACTGGAGGGAAACAACAAATATGAACAGGCTTAACGGGGTGAGGGGGGGCAAACTCCCTTCTAGATGCTGTGCTAAATGGAGGGCTCTTGCAAAGCCTCTCTGTGGCACCCTTCCCTTTCCTTGAGATGCCAGTCCCAAGTGTTGAGCCATCTTGTCGACCATGTGGCAGAGCCTTGCCCCCACACAGCACCAGGCACAGCAGTTAGTGAAGGTGTTCTAAAAGCTGAAACTCTCTTGCCCAGGAAGATGGGGAGATGATGCAAAGAAGTGGGAGGCAAGGCCCAATGCAGAAGCTCCATGAGAACATCTAGGCTGCAACATGTCCTGTGCTCAGGAAGGGCTTTGTGCCCTGGCTATTGAAGCGATGTGTGTGTGTGGAGGATGCATATAGGATTTTACAGCTCTTACCATGATTAGGGTAAAATTAAATACAGTGGATGCTATGTTTTTCTCCTCTTCCTCCACTCTTTCCTTCTTATTTCAGAGTCATGTGGCTCAGCAGAGGATGCAAGATCACCTTTCTGAACTAAGCTGCATGGAGTATGAACTTACTACTGAAAGGGTATCTCACCGCGACCCTCCTTATCCAGGACGACTCAGGAGACACGGGCCCATGCAAGAGACTTTATTATCTGAAAGAGAGAGTGGCTGCCCCAGAGGGGGATGCGGTGGGGGAGAGAGAGAGAGAGAGCAGGGGGACAGAGAGACAGAGACAAAGAGAGAGGGCAGCAGAGAGACAGACAGAGAGAGAGGGGGTAGCAGCGTGGTGCCTTTTATTGTGGCAGATCCTCTCGGCCTCTTGCTTTGCGGGAGGGCCGGGATGTTTAGAGATAAGGAGGGGTAAGCCCAGTCAAGCCCCAGGGAAGCCCAGGCATAATTCTCACCGGTTTATGTGCTTGGGACCATGGAGCAAATGGAGGATAAATTACTATATTCTTACAACTACCACACCTGGTTCCGTATCCATAAGAAATCCATATATATCCCCATTTTCCTTTTGCCTCCACTTTTCTTGAGTTTCTGGTTAAGCTCCCATTTTCCCTCATGCCTCTCACCCATCATTCTTGTGGCTTCCCATCTCATGGCTTCCTCGTCCTGGGCCCTGCTTTTCTCTAACTTCTTCCATGTGCGCTCTGCCTTTCCTCGTGCTGGTGGTGCGGATGATGACAGTGGTGACGACGGCATGTGTTGTTTAGACACTGTTTACTAAACATCTATTACATGCCACACACTGCTGTGAAGAACTTACGTACACTATTTACCTCATTTACTCATTACCTGATTTTTATTCCCTGTGCAGCTCATTGAGTTAGGTATTATCATCTCCATCTTTGAGATGAAGAAACTGATCATGAGTGAGAGGTTCGGTCACTTCCAGTTGTCACACCATCACTCACAAAACTGTGTTTAATCTGTGTTTTTGTTTGACCTCAAAGCTCAGGCTCCTTTTATTTGGCGGTTTTGGCTGCAAGTGGTTCTTCACTGTCCTCTCTTTTAGTCCCTCTTACTTCTGAGTTGGCATCATTGCCTTTTCTTTGAAAGTATGCTACTTATTTCACCAGTACTTTTGTGTGGCCATTTCCAAATTTGCCTTTCTGTTTCAACTCACATTCAGAGTGCCCCACTACCTAGGGGTCTCAGAGAATATTTTCAAGTATTTTCCCCAGAGCTTCTTAGAAAGACAAAATATCTGATTAGTTTCTCAAGCCCTTCCCAATTAAGATCTTTGCTATAACTGAAAGCCCTCATATTTTTCCTGCTCCCTGTTATACAATTTTATGCCAATTTCAGTCTTCTCTATGCCAATGTACTAGGGAAATATAAATAGTATACATTTGAATTTTCTTAAACTGACCTTCCTTATGTCTTCCAAAGGCATCCACTTGACACCCTTGACTGATTCACTAGGAAAGGTTTCCAACTGTTGCAGTAGGAATATCAAGAGAAATAAGGAGTTAATATTCCTCTTCTAGCATCCAAAATAAGATTTTGCAATGATGGTTTTGTTAAGTAAGCATTTGGAGAAAGAAAATTATAAAATTACTTTATCCTTACTTTTAGCATATCAAGAACCAAGCCTGGCATACTTGTTCATAAAGATTTATTTAAGTAAAGTCCTGATTTGACAGAAAGAAGAAGAGAGAAATGCCTTCATCTAATGGCATTCTACTGTGGGCGAAGAAGGGAGATTCAGATGGTGGTGGAGGATGAAGCACCCAGAGGGATCTTACTGGCCTGAGTGTGCTGATGAAAGTCTAAGAGAAGCCAGACTGTGACCGCTTCCAGTAAGATTCAGAGAGACGGTGGAGCTCTACCAGCAGGTGTGAGCATAAGAGATTATACCTGTTATCTAGATAGTCAAACGCACAGAAGCAGGAAGTAGAATGGTGGTTGCCATAGCTTAAGGGCAGGAGACATGGGGAGCTGCTGTTCAATATAAAGTTTGTTATGCAAGATGAGTAAGTTCCTGAGGTCTGCTGTACAACATTACACAATGCCATATTGTACACTTAGAAATTAGCTAAAAGGGTAGATCTCATTTTGTCAAAAACACAATTTAAAGTGGTAATACCTCAGTTTACACAGAGTATTATGGGGTGCAGATGCGCCATGTGCTGAGTTAAAGGAGCACAAAGGTTCTTCTGGCATCATTGGTCTTTAGAGCCTGGGGTTGGAAAGAGGGGGCCTCTGAAAATGGGGAGCCTGATGACCCCAGACCATGTGGTCATTACCAGTGAAAGACTTTACCCAGAAAGGCCGACAGGACTCACCGCACCTCAGTATTCACCAGTCCCAGGAGCAGCAGACACCAGCCACTTGCAGCAGAGCTTGGCAAGATCTAGAGGACTCTGCATGGATTCTGGTCTTCCTGCTGTCTCCGAAGCCTTGAGGTTACATGGACCGGAGATCACTCCCATATGAGGCCATCTAGAAAAGGATCAGGAGAAGAAAAGACAGTTAAGAGACTAAGCAATTCTAGTCATGAGAACTACTCAGGCTTATTATAGAAAAAAACACAGAATACATGCACAAAAGGAAGACAACAATATGCAGAGTCCCATACAATCAGTGCCAACAGCTGTTATTATCCTGCAGCAGATCCCCTTAAATGTGATCCCCTCATCTATGTCTATCTCCAGGCCCCATTCTCTCTCTGTCTCTCTCTTTTCTGTGGCTGCGCCATTTACTATTCATATGTCCTTGAGAACATTCATCATTTGTAAAATGAAGGTAATAGTAATATTCTATTCTATTCTACTTCATAGAACTGTTTTAGAATTATATATGAACGTGCATATAAATGCTAGCATGTAGTAAATATTCAACACATTTTAGCTATATGGTTTTCTAAAAAATGGGATGTAACTGACTTTTTTAAAGGTAAGCATCTTTTTATTTCAATAGGCCCTTTTTCTATAACATCACTCTAAATAGTTGAACAGTACTTAAATATTTGAATAGTACTTAACCATAATTGATTTCACCAGTCCTCTATTGGTGGGCATTTAAGATATTTCTGACTTCTCTCTGTTCCAAAGAGCTCTAATACAAACATTCTTAGAGATATTTGGAACAAATCATTAACTGTTTCTTTAGGTTAAATTTCCAGAAGTGCAAGTTCTTGGTTAAAGGACAGAGACATTTTAAGACTTTGAGTACATATTTTCATATTGCTTTCCAGAAGGCTGAACACAAAATTGAGGTGACTTCAACAAATTCAGCAAAACATATAGGACTAAGGATGAAGATAGCCTTCTTCGTCCTTGACAAGGTAACTGATTCAAGGCAAGATAAAGTTCTGCTGTGAATCAAAGTGGCTCCACCTAGAACAACAGGTCTGACATTCTCTCTGAATGGAATGAAATCTGAGAGAAGCAGGGAAGAAGGTTCCCAGTCAACCCCCCTGATCTTTGTGGCTGATCACCAAATGTCATCATTTCTTTACAGATGCAAAAGGAATCTGCCTTTTCTTTGTAAATCATTTTGTAAAGGCTCTTGTTCAAAAGGTACCTGCATTTTAATTGGCCAGCATTCTACATAATTATGTTACATTACTAACCAAAAATGACATTTAAAAAACAACCCTATTATCCTGAAATGCCTCTGATCTTGAGTTTAGCTCTCACCCCCGCATGGCTCATCAGGACTATGACTTCCTTAGGGATTACTCACGGGAGCAAGAACAGCCTGCTTCCTGCATGGAAAGACTGAAAGCCACTAATCTACAAAACTTAATTTAGAAACAACCTGCAAAAGATAGTTAGCAACTAATGAAGGTTAACTGAACCCTCCCTGGGGATGGTTCTCCTGGCTTAACTATAACTGTGCAGAGCCTTTCTTTCGCATCTGTTACACCTATGAGGCCAGAGAAGGGAGAGAAGACCAACATGAGACAAATAGAATCAGCTCTTCTGCCACATCCTGCTGCCCTTCTTAGGAAAGGCACTTCTATCTGAGAAACTGACACACACTTTCTCCAACAGACATTGACGGTCATTCTCTCCAGATTAGAGCCTTGTGGTATAGTAGCTACCAGACACAATTATTTTAGTTGTCTTATGACAAATCTTGATGCAGGAACCTATTGCTCTATAAAATAATGATGGTAATTTTTTCATTTGATACATTACAGGGAACTTCAATCCAGGATTACTCATTTCAGTTTCCTCATTGGACATCTGAGGAAAATGAGTCCCAGAGAGATAAAGTGCCATGCCCAAGGTCACACAGCTGGTGAAGGAGCAGAATAAAATTTATAATTGAATTGAGGGTTTTTACACAAAAATATAGTTAAATGTAACTAAAGATAAAGTTTTTAAACGTCACCACTGTGACTTACCTACACATACCTGCTTAGAATCTACCTAAGAGTGAAAAAGCTGGATCAAGGACTCCATGGAATGCAGAAGTTCAGTTCTAGTAGACACTGCCAGCTTTCCAGATGGTTGTGCCAGCTTACACCTCCACTGTAGTTCTCTAAAACCTCCGCAACCCTTCACATAGTCTCTTATGTTCCAGCCACTCTGTAAACATATCAGTATCTCATTGTGGTTTTAATTTGCATTTCCTTGATTACTAATGTAATGAAGCATCTTTTCATAAGTTAGAGAGACGGTGGAGCTCTACCAGCAGGTGTGAGCATAAGAGATTATACCTGTTATCTAGATAGTCAAACGCACAGAAGCAGGAAGTAGAATGGCGGTTGCCATAGCTTAAGGGCAGGAGACATGGGGAGCTGCTGTTCAATATAAAGTTTGTTATGCAAGATGAGTAAGTTCCTGAGGTCTGCTGTACAACATTACACAATGCCATATTGTACACTTAGAAATTAGCTAAAAGGGTAGATCTCATTTTGTCAAAAACACAATTTAAAGAGGTAATACCTCAGTTTACACAGAGTATTATGGGGTGCAGATGCACCATGTGCTGAGTTAAAGGAGCACAAAGGTTCTTCTGGCATCATTGGTCTTTAGAGCCTGGGGTTGGAAAGAGGGGGCCTCTGAAAATGGGGAGCCTGATGACCCCAGACCATGTGGTCATTACCAGTGAAAGACTTTACCCAGAAAGGCCGACAGGACTCACCGCACCTCAGTATTCACCAGTCCCAGGAGCAGCAGACACCAGCCACTTGCAGCAGAGCTTGGCAAGATCTAGAGGACTCTGCATGGATTCTGGTCTTCCTGCTGTCTCCGAAGCCTTGAGGTTACATGGACCGGAGATCACTCCCATATGAGGCCATCTAGAAAAGGATCAGGAGAAGAAAAGACAGTTAAGAGACTAAGCAATTCTAGTCATGAGAACTACTCAGGCTTATTATAGAAAAAAACACAGAATACATGCACAAAAGGAAGACAACAATATGCAGAGTCCCATACAATCAGTGCCAACAGCTGTTATTATCCTGCAGCAGATCCCCTTAAATGTGATCCCCTCATCTATGTCTATCTCCAGGCCCCATTCTCTCTCTGTCTCTCTCTTTTCTGTGGCTGCGCCATTTACTATTCATATGTCCTTGAGAACATTCATCATTTGTAAAATGAAGGTAATAGTAATATTCTATTCTATTCTACTTCATAGAACTGTTTTAGAATTATATATGAACGTGCATATAAATGCTAGCATGTAGTAAATATTCAACACATTTTAGCTATATGGTTTTCTAAAAAATGGAATGTAACTGACTTTTTTAAAGGTAAGCATCTTTTTATTTCAATAGGCCCTTTTTCTATAACATCACTCTAAATAGTTGAACAGTACTTAAATATTTGAATAGTACTTAACCATAATTGATTTCACCAGTCCTCTATTGGTGGGCATTTAAGATATTTCTGACTTCTCTCTGTTCCAAAGAGCTCTNGTCTTATGACAAATCTTGATGCAGGAACCTATTGCTCTATAAAATAATGATGGTAATTTTTTCATTTGATACATTACAGGGAACTTCAATCCAGGATTACTCATTTCAGTTTCCTCATTGGACATCTGAGGAAAATGAGTCCCAGAGAGATAAAGTGCCATGCCCAAGGTCACACAGCTGGTGAAGGAGCAGCATAAAATTTATAATTGAATTGAGGGTTTTTACACAAAAATATAGTTAAATGTAACTAAAGATAAAGTTTTTAAACGTCACCACTGTGACTTACCTACACATACCTGCTTAGAATCTACCTAAGAGTGAAAAAGCTGGATCAAGGACTCCATGGAATGCAGAAGTTCAGTTCTAGTAGACACTGCCAGCTTTCCAGATGGTTGTGCCAGCTTACACCTCCACTGTAGTTCTCTAAAACCTCCGCAACCCTTCACATAGTCTCTTATGTTCCAGCCACTCTGTAAACATATCAGTATCTCATTGTGGTTTTAATTTGCATTTCCTTGATTACTAATGTAATGAAGCATCTTTTCATAAGTTTATTAGCCATTTGTATATCCTCTTGCATGAAGTGCCAGATCAAATTTCTGCTCAATTAAAAAAAAAAGTGTTTTAAAGCTACACTACAGAATTGGAAGTCATTTAAACAACTTATGTCATCAGAGGTAATTTAGATTTCATTAGCTTATCCAGGACACACATGCCCAACCAAGATGGCATGGGAAGGTTAGAGAATGCTGTCAGCTGGGTCCCAAGCAGAACTGTTTGCTAAGCAGTTTGTCTTTGGTAGTCTTTACCCTCACCTACTGGGTTTCCTCCCCTCCAACTTCTCTGTGATCTCACGGCTTATGGACAACTCCTTCCCACCACCTCTGTCTCATTCTGTGTCCAGGGAGGGTGGGGCAGGCATCACACTTGAAAGTTCCACTCTGAGGTCTCCCTTTGTATTTTGTTCATATAAACAGTTTTATGAGTTTTTGCTGAGCAACAGTGGACCTAGAACTGAATTTGAGAATAAAACAAAAGAGAGTTTAATTGAATTAGGAGAGAGAAAAATCTAGATTGGAACAGGAATCCTCAGCCCTAGGAACTCCCTAGGAGAGGGAGTGTATAAGGAGCAGAAATGAAAGGAGAGAGGGAGATTCAAGACACAGCAGGATGGCATAGCCACTGAGAAATTACCAGTGGAGAGGGTCTGAATGATTTTTAATGTAATTAAAATTTAAATTTAAATTTTCTGGAAAAAAATGTACATGGTTCATAAATCAAAATAATATAGAAGTAGATAGTGAAATGTCTTAGTCTAACTTTTGTCCCTATCCACCCCATTCTATCCTCCCCCTGACTCAGGTAATTTCTTTTTTAGTTTCTAGGATATCTTTCTGGTGCTTATGCAAATACAAATCAAAATTAATTGAAATTTTTATTTTCTACCTTCCAAAAATATTTTAAAGTGATGTCTGATATTTAATGTTAGTTATCTGAGATATGACGCAAATCTTCAAAGTTCAGTAAAATCTGCTTCATACAACAGTCTTATAATGAAGTATACACATGTGTGTGGTTGTGCATGTGTCAAGGAACAGGGTGGAGTTCCACATCTGGGCTGACATCTTGTGGAACAGTAACACGTATGAAACAGAGGGAGAATGCATACACTGAAATAATCCAGCAGAAACAAAACAAAGCCAGAGGTGACCGCAAAACAGAAACACACCGGGAACTGACAGACATCCTGGGAAGGTGTAGGATAGTCCACAAAATGTGTAGCAGCGGTTGGAGCCAATTTATTTAGCCTTTTAGGGACAGAGCAGCCTTAGCTTATATCTGAATTACACATTATTGCCTTCAATTATAAAATAATCGTAAATTAATTATTAACTGATATGCTGGACCTTAGTGATAAAGTGTCATCATTACCAAGCTGAGAAGCTTAGATATTTTCTAACGACAAATGAGGAGTCATTAAAGGTTTCTGAACACGGGAATGACATAATAAGAACTGTATTTCTAGTTTAATTTGGCAGCAGAAAAATTATCAGTGCTATTTCTGGGTTTGGGAATGAATACCCATTAAGAAAGTATATTAGTTATCTATTGTTACATAATAAATTATCCCAAAATTTAACCCCTTAAAACAAGCACTCATTACCTCAATTTCTGTAGGTCAGAAATCTGAGCGTAATTATTGCCAGGATTCACACTCTTTAGGGCCCCCTGGACTGGGAACCTCAGTTGCTTGACGGCCATTGGCCAGAGGCTCCCTAACTGCCTTACCACATGAGCTTCTCCATAGCGCCTCTCATTCCACGGCAGCTGGCTTCCAATGAGCCGGCAGGCAAGAGGGCAGGAAACGGCGGGCAAAGACAAAAACCACGGTCTTTTTGAAACGATCTCAGAAATAATATCCCAGCACCGTTTCCTTATTCTATTCACTCAAATCGAGTTGCCAAGCCCAGCCCACACATTCAAAGGTGTACCTGCCAGCAGGCAGGGTTCGTGGGGGCCATTTTAGAGGTGATTTCAAACTAGTAATCTGGAAGTAGAGAGGCATTGCAGTAGGTGGCTCCCATCAGGCAGAGAGAGAGGAATTGTGAGGAAATGAAGGCAGGATTAGAATTGCCAGGACTTGCCAAACGGATTGGATGGGGAGGATGAATGAAGGAATGCATCAGCCTCACTGACTGGGATGATTGCTAGGGGAGTCACAGAGACAAAGCACTTGAGGAGATGCAGATTTGGGAGAAATGCCAACTAACAAGAAGAGGTTTTAGTAGACTCAGCATTGAGGAATCCAGAGAGAAAGAAATGAGAATTATTTCGGTTCCACTAACTTGCAGCAGCTGGTGCAGGAGCAAGACCATGTGAACTGGAGTGAGATAGACCTGAGTTCAAATGGTAACCATCACTTACAAGCTCTGCTCCTCTGGATAAACTCCTCTGAATCTCAGTTGTTCTGTCAATGTGGAAGCCAATTCCTACCTCTCCTGGTTGTTTTCAGAGCCCAGATAACCTCTTTACAATTCCCAGTACAGAGTAGGTGCTCCATGAGTAGTACTGAATAGGCTCTCCTACATATTTGCAAAAGCAGTATGAAAATGTCCCTTGCCAGCATCTCTTTACAACCATCCATAACCCCATTTGTATCATGTTTCTTTGTTACCTTGAACAAGTGCCATAAAGTTTACTTCTGCATATCTGTACAACTTGCAATGATTTTACATATGTACCTTTATGTGTAGGGGTCTGTATCACACAAATATTCCCCTAATGTGGGAACTAAGCATTTACACTTGGATGTCACTAGTTTACTATTCCTCATGTGCATAATTAGCATATTGCTTTCCTTCTCTTTTTCTCTCTCTCCCCCTGTCTTTCACGGGCTAACCCCATTTAAAGCTTTGGTTCCAACGTCACTTCTTCCTTCACCCCTGCTTGACACCTCAGTTCTTAGTCACATGTTCCTCCTGGAAACCCTCTCTGTCGCATACTTCCATCACAGAGCTCATCACATTGCAGTGACATCACCATTTTTCCTTACATGTAGTCCCTCCCGGATTCTAAGCTTTATGACGACAGGGAGTCATGAATTCCCATTATCTTTGATGCCCGGTGCATGGTAGTATTCAGTAAATATTTTCTAAATAAGTGAGTAATAAATGTTTTTCCAGGTGCTGAGTGCCCATCTTAACTGGAATACACCTGCTCTGACATC